GATGAGCACTGCCCCCTAGAGTTGGGAACAACTAGCACATATGTCCGAGGGGAACCTTTACCTATTATACTCAGTGCTCACAGAGGAATAGGAGACATAGCAATAGGAAGAAGGTGAGGCTCTGTGATCAATACATGTGTTGTCATGTCAAACAACAAATCATTATCACTGTGATCATCACCATTGCCAAAGTTGGATGGGTCCAATGCCCAGCATCTTGGACTGGGTTAGGAGATCATTGGAATGATTGATTGCGGCGCAGAGCCCCAATCAATCATCTACAGAAAGAGTGATTTAGGGACACTCAGACCAATTAAGAGTGCAAAGAATTATTGTGAAGTTGGGGGATGCGGCCCAACACACGATAAGTCAATATGTCTGACTGAAGACAAATGGAATGTATTATACCATTGGCGGCTCTGTGAATTAATGCTGCGCGGAAAGAAACATAGGATGTTTCCAATTTCTCTCTGCAGCTGAAAATCAATTGGCAAATGGATGGAGGGTTGGCATGAGAAGCTGATGGCATTGGACCAATATCAGTTAGACTTATATGCCGTCCAATAGTGCTTTACAGCACTCTCTGGGCAGTCAAAATGTAAGCATTATTTGCATATCCCCCCCCTCCAAATCTGACTCCCCATTTTATCAATCTTGGAAGGACGGATGGAAGGCTGAGTCCATAGCAATAGCACTTAAAGACTTGGTGGCTCAGTGGATAAGACGCTGAGCTTTTAGATAAGAAAGGTCGGGGGTTTGAATCCCTAGCGCCGCGTAACGGAGTGAGCTCCCATTACTTGTCCCAGCTTCTGCCAACCTAGTAGTTCGAAAGCATGTAAAAATGCAAGTAGAAATATAGGAACCACTTTTGGTGGGAAGGTAACAATGTTCCGTGCGCCTTTGGCATTTAGTCATGCCGGCCACATGACCACGGAGATGTCTTTGGACAGCGCTGGCTCTTCGGCTTTGAAACAGAGATGAGCATCGCCCCATAGAGTCAGGAACGACTAGCACATATGTGCGAGGGGAACCTTTATCTTTTACCACCCCAACTTGGAAGGATGGAAGAGCTGAGTCAACCTTGAGCCGGTCAGGATCGAACTCATGGCAGGGAGCAGTGCGTTCGCCTGCAATAATGCATTCTAAAAACGGTGTCACCATGGCTCTCTCTCTCTCAACCTCGAGAGCCAGTCAGGCTCGAATTCTAGACTGTGGGCAGAGTTCACCTGCAATGCTGCACTTTTAAATGCTACGCCACCAGGAGTTAACTAAGCTCATCCCGTTACTCTAAAAAATCCCAAGAACAAGGCGAGAATGCTCACCCCCAGACGGCACACTGATACAGGTTCCTCCGTTCTGACAAGGGTTACGCTCGCAGGGGTCAGGATACAGCACACAGCCAAGCTTGAGTTCGGTTAGTCCCACCACTTCTGCAAAGCTGCTGCGTTTGTTCTGGAGTGGCAGCTCGTTGTTGTTGAGGATGATGGAATCCAAACAGCCTTGGAAGCCACTCAAAACCTGGGTGGACCTCTTGTCTGTTAAGCTTCGGACATTGTCCACCTGAACCTGGGCTCCAAAATAAACAGAGCTATCAGTGCTCAGGGTCTGGAAGTAAAGGGGAGCTTTGCGCCTCTCCACGTAGCTATCGTCGAGCGAGAGGCTGGTGAAGTTCCGGTTCAATTCCAGGAAGACGGAATGCCAGCTCCCATCGTTCACAGTCCTGCCTGAAATTCCCAGGATGCCAGGGCCAGCACCACAGTCCAACTGGAACCACAGTTTTCCGTCCACGACCTGCAAACAGAAAGCGAAATGTCAGGAAAACAGAGTTTGTTAAACAGTGGAGATACCACTTGCCCCAGCATGGTTTTCTGAACCAGCGTATAATCCGTCTATTTTGCCTTGGGCGAATTTCTACGTTTGATAGCAAGTACACTGTCCAACAGTCAGACTATTGCAAGATGTTTCGCATCAGGGGGGTCAAACTCAAGGCCCATGGGGCAGGATCTAGCCTGCGGGGTGTTTAGATCTGGCCCGTAGGGCCGCTCTGGAAGCCGCGAAGGACCAGCCCATGGTGCTTCTTCCAGCAAAAACAGAGCTGGGTGGGTGGGTGCATGCAGCAGAGAGTTGCAGGAGGCTGTCACAGCCAAAAATGGAGCTCGGGAGCCTGTTTTCGCTGGCAGAGAGCTCGGGCCACCACAGGCGCCCCTAACACGAGTGATGTTGAGCTGGGCATGCCCACCCTGGCCTCCGGAGCTTGGGGGAAGTCATTTTCGCCCTCCCAGAGGCTCAAGGAAAGCAACACCACCACCCCCGCTATGGTGCAGGAGGTTGAGTAGGCCACTCCCACCATGATCACGCCTATCTAGCAACCGGAGCAGAGAATCGGTTGCTAACATTTTTGAATGCCACCCCGGGGTGGAGCTGTACAGGTTGGTGGAGAGCCATTTGTTTAACCCTTCACAAGAGAAATAAAGAACTTTTTGAGACATATTATCATCTAGGGTGGACGTGCGAGATGGCGAAAAAATATTGGACCAAAATGAAAAAGTGGCTCGAAGAAATAACAGGGAATTATATAGATTGGAAACTGGATTTTTTTTTTCTATTGGGTATCACTACAAAAAAGTACAGTAGAGAAATACAATACCTAATCCTTCCCATCGTAACTGCAGCTAGAATAACGTACTAAAATAATGTTCCCCAAAAGTGGAAAAACAATGAAGTAGCAAAGGAAGATGTGGTGAGAAGAAAAATCTTAAGTGTGTGCAGAGATTGACAAGCTGACGAAAGTGATTCAAGGAAAGGAGAAATCAGAATATTATTTAACATGGAACAAATGGTATAAATGTTTCGAGGACAGAAACAAGAAGTAGGGAAACACAAAATAGTGACGTAGTAGAAGTGTTAGGATATAGTGATAAGACAAAATATGGTAAACATAGGTGAAGATATAGTAGCTAAACAATAGCAGGTATATAAGATACAAAATATATGTAAAGTGATACTCTGACACAAACAATTAAGTATAAATAAGTTTGGAATAGTATGCACAAACAATTAAAGAACTTTTTGGAGGAATGCCTCACTGTCAGTGGTAGGATTCAGCCGGTTCGCACCTATTCGGGAGAACCGGTTGTTAACTTTCTGAGAGTTCAGAGAATTGGTTGTTGGAAGAAATCCCATTTTGTTTTTTTCCACTTTACAGGACTAATCCTGTAAGGAAGGCAGGAAGGAAACATTCTGGTGTTGTTTCTAGCCTAATCTTTATTGAAACTGCCTCTCTGGTTAACCCTTATTACATTGAAACAGCTAACGCCAAGCGCCCATTGACATGAGTAACGTTGAGTTGGCCATGCCCACCCAGTTACATGACCACCGAGCCACGCCTACCCAACTAATCATTAGGGCAGAGAACCGGTTGTTAAATTATTTGAATCCCACCACTGGAGTGGGGGTCATACTACAAATTTTGTCTTCCCACTTTGTTGCCCCAAAT